TTTTTTTATGTCTTTTTGGAGATCTTTTTAAAGGTTATAAACATTCAATTTTATGTCTTACAAAGTTTATACTGAGTTCAATATTGTATAACTGTATTAATTCAACAGCGAACCTAAAAATTTTATAGCCACTTTTGTTGAAAGAGCTGTATCTTTGCTTTGGAAACTGTTAATGCGTATGTTAAAGCTGTAATGAAATGCTTCCTCTAAAAAAATTAAAAAAAAATAAAATTAAAAAATCCTAGTGCTCTGTGATACTCTTCTTTCTTCAACAAGTGTAAGAAAGATAAAGCTCAAATCTACACCATGATATCCATTCTCTACTTAGTACCAATTAGAGAAATTAACACAACTATCATCCAACCCATTGAATGTCCACGTTTATTACAAATAAATTACTTACAAATTAAGTCCCATGCCAATTGCATCTGTTGCAACAAGGATTTTGCATGGATCATTGGGGTCATTAAACTTTTTTGCTTGAGCAAGTTTGGTCCCTAAAATAGGAATAGTTTGTATTAAATCAGAGCTCTCAATCTTCTGACTATATTATGCCGAGCAAATCTTGAAAACCCTCACTCCCCCGCTCTTTTTATTCTTATGGATGGATCTTTTACGTTTCAAGCTTTACTTCCTCACATCCCCAAGACTCACTTAGCCTTTACTGCTACTCCTTAAACAGCCCCCATATAGCAACACTGTCTCCCAACACACTGCCTGAACAGTTCAGAGGACTCTTAGTAAGATTTCAGGACAGCTTGACCAGCATTACCAGGTACATATTTTAATAACATGTAAATAAAAGGGGAGGGGGGGATAGGTCTAGAGATATGTCTCAGCGGTTAAGAGCACTTACTGCTGTTAGAGAGGAACTGGGTCAGTTCCCAGCACCCACACGGCAGGTGACAACTACCTGTGACTCTAGCTTCAGGAGCTGCCCTCTGGCCTCTGTAGGCACCTGCATGTACATGGTGTACGTAAACCCACATAGGCACATGCATAAACACATAAAAATAAAATCTTTAGAAACAAGGACCAATTCAACATTTAACAGTCTATAGTCTAATAACAAACAAGATAATAAAAGTACTTCTATTGCCATTAAATTAACTAGGGAAATATTTATATGACCTATAATTAATAATCAAACAGCTTGATTCATTTTTTTCTTACTATGCTTTCTAAACATACCTCAACATAAGAGATTTCGTACCCTGTCACAGTGAAACAAATAATTACCAGGTGGGAGGCTGCCATATATAACAGCTGATTCTAGTCCCCGAATTTCAATCTGTCGGCTCACAGAATAAATATCATTCTTGCTAAAACAGACAATGCAGTCCCCAGGCCGAAGGTTATCTAAAGATTCTAGTGCATGATCCAGCACGGAAATGGGGGTAAGCCTCTTATACTTATGAACCTGTAAGAAAGACATACATGGTAAAACAACATGCTGAAATCAACATCAGGTGACTAATCATTGAATTGCAAAGCCAAAGAAGATCAACACAAATCTCTTTCAAAAATTAACACAGAGAAACATTCATTTGAATATTGTGTTACCAAGAATTCCCCTTGGCACCGCTAAACTTATAAAATGTTGTTCCTATCTTCCACATTTTCAAAGCGTTTAACATACACTGATTTTTCATGTCACTGTCGTTATTAACTGTTATTTTTATTTCATGAAAGAGTAAAACAGCCCAAAAAGATTAAGTCTGAGACTTAATCTAAATCCATTTCTAGCCTTCCGTGGCTTGCCACAGACAGGGGCAACTTGAAACATTTCTGTGTTTCTGTCAAAGTTATTTTTCACTGCCAAGTTGACTGGATTTAGAATCACCATGGAAACACACCTATTGGTGTGTCCATGAGGGTGTTTCCAGAAAGGTTTAACTGAGCAGGGAAGACCTACCTTGAATGTGGGCACCACCATCCCACGGCTGGGGTGCTGGACTGTGTAAAAAGCAAAGGTAGCTGAGCACCAGCATTACTGGCTCTTTGCTTTCTGACCTCCAAATTTTGAGCCAACATAAGCCCATCCTTCCTTAAGTTACTTTGTCAGGTATTTTGTCGAGTAATGAAAAAAGTAACTAACAATGTTACTGTGGTGGTAAAAAAATTCTGGTAAGGCAGGGCAGTATTTAGAATCTGCAAAAGGATACAAGTTACTTCTTTTTCACTAAAAAAATAAATTATTTATGGGTTGGGGATTTAGTTCAGTTGGTAGAGCGCTTGCCTAGCAAGTGCAAGGCCCTGGGTTCAGTCCTCAGCTCCGAAAAAAAAAATTTACTTATTTTTTTTATGTGTATATTGCCTGCATGCATGTGGTGTGCAATGGCCCTCAGAGGTCAGAGGAGGTTGTGGAATTCCCTGGAACTGGAGTTACAGACCGTTGTTAGCCATGATGTGGGTGCTGGGAATTGAACCCAGGCCCACTGCAAGAACAGTCAGTGTTCTTAACTGCTGAGCCATTTCTCCAGCCCCACAAAGTACTTCTTGACAATTAGAAAAACACCAAAGGCCCCAATATGTGCCATAAAGACTTGGAAAACCAAAACAGGTAGAGTCTCAAATTCAACAGTCCGATTTACTTAATTCTAAAGAGATTTACTCATGGACTGTGGATATGGCTCAGTGGTAGACCACTTGCCTACCATGCATGAAGACCTGTGCCACACAAGTAAATAAAGATACCTGCTCATTCCTCAAAAAAGTTTGTGGAAATAAAAGCTGGATGAGGTAGCATAGGCCAGCCAAAAGAAACATACAACAAAAACCCCAAGAAACCAAAGAGTTTGTGAAAATGAAGAGTCTCCCACATGCCTCGAAAGATGGCTCTGTGGAGGCAGAGGTACGCAGATCTCTGTGAGATCGAGGTCAGCTTGGTCCATATAGTGTGTTCCAGGCCAGGTGGAACTACAGGGAGATTCTGTCCCAAAACAATCAAACAAAAAACAAAAACAAAGTCTCCCGTACTCTTGAAAAGTCCTATAGATCATGGCTTGTATCAGAATTTGATGTCATGAAGCTCAACCATACACATGAGCCAGTCAGCTATAAGAAAATGACCAGTTCTTTTTAGCTAAGCACTTTTTTTTTTTTGAGATAGGGTCTCCCTGTAACCCCAGCTGGCCTGGAACTCGCTACATAGACCAGGCTGGCCTCAAACTCTCAGAGATCCACCAACCTCTGCTCCTGAGTGCTGGGACTAAAGGCATGCGCCACCACACCCAGCTAAGCACTGTTTTTTAATCTCTAAAATCTTTTTTAGCCAGCATACAAAGAACAGGTTTCATTATGACATGTTCATACATGCCATTGCACTTGGTTCCCCCCACTATTTAGGTGAGCCCAGGTTTCACCAGTCCAGGGCTTTCTGAGATCCCCAGGGCTGTGGTGTGCCCGAGAATGAAGAAGCATAAAACCACATACCTCTATCTCCTCCCCAGTGGTGTACAGAAGCTCAGTGACCAGGTCAATAGCAGCAGCTTCTCCACACAAATGGACTTCCTCAGCACAGAGTCCTGTAAATGCACAACAGGAGTTTTTTTGTTTGTTTGAGACAGGGTCGCACTATGTAGCTGTGGCTGGACTAAAACTTACTATGTAGACCACAAACTTACTGATCCACCTGCCTCTGCCTCCCACCTGCTGGGATTAAAGGTGTGCATCATCATGTCTGGCATAATAGGAATTAAAAAAAAAAAACTGCTAAGATTTGTAACTAAATACACAGCACTTAAATAGCAAAAGAATGTTATACTGGGAGGTGGGGTGGAAGTGACATAAATACAGGACCCATGTATGAAAGTCTCAAAAAATATTTTTAAATGTTATATTTTCTTATTAATGGTACTGTAACTTTATAAAATGTTTTCAGTCTCTCTGATGCAAACCTTTTTCTGTTTCTTTTGGTTGTTTTGTTTCTGAGACAAGGTCCTACTATGTTGCCCTGGCTGACCTGGAACTCCCTATGTAGACTACACTGGCCTTAAACTCAGAGAGATCTGCCTACCTCTGCCTCCAAGGTGACAAGATCAAAGGTGTGCGCCACCACTCCTGGCTGCAAGTCTTCTTTTTTGGGTCCTGTTTGCAGTGTCCTACATGATCATCAAAGTGCTGCTAGTATGTTCACATCTATTACTGCAAATTCTAAACCCAGGGAAACTTCCACCTAGGAATTTACTTTGGGTCAAGGTCAGGCTGTCTGGTACAAGGCTGAACCCACCTCAGGCAGATCCAACCACACAGGGCAAACCTTCTTTTAAACGGCAAAGATCAGTTCTATTTTTACAAAAATTTAAGGCTCTTAAAATTGCTCTGGACAAGGTTTCAAGACTGTTATAGGGAGAAGTCAACCAGGACTGGACTGCAGCCTGGCACTTTGATGCTTAGTGATGAACATTAGTCGAAGACCATGTTCTTCTGATTCAGATCAGTGGAATCACTGAGGTACCTCAGAGGTGGGGGCTGGAGGGCAAAAGTGACTCAGAACTCCTTCCCCCGAGCAGAGCCACTTCTATCTCTACTAAGCTCTCTGAAGGAAGGGTCCAGCTCTTTGTTTTCAAAACTAAAAACACTCTACAATATGCTGGATCAAAAAGCAATGCCAAGCCAGGTGTGGTGGCACTTGCCCATAATCCCAACACTTGAAAGGCTGAGGCAGGAGGACCCGGAGTCTGAAGCCAGCCTGGCTATATAATGAGACCTGTTTCAAAAAGAATCACTTCATGTCTTCTGGAGAAGACCACTTCTAGGACTCTATCCTAAAGAACAATAAAAATAAACCAAAAGTAAAAAGCTAAGTCCATAAAGAATGCCAGGCATTGTAGCTCACACCTTTAATCCCAGCATCAGGGAGACAGGTAGGCAGATCTCTGTGTGTTCCAGGCCAGCTGGGGCTACAGGGAGACATTGTCTCAAACAAAATAACAATGAAAAAAGAATTTTACTACAACACTGCTAATAGAAAAAAATCTTCAACTGCATGGAACAAATTATGGTACTGTTCTTTAATGGAGAACACCCAATCACAGTAATAAGCAGGATGAAAAAGGATCTACAAATCACAAAGTTGTAAGTCTTTCAAATACCTCATATACAAGAAGACCGACAGGAAACCTCAAAACACTAACAGTGACTTTGTAAATATGGCAAGACTTATACTTCCTTTTTTGAGACAGTGTGTCATGTAGTCCAGGCTAACCCTCAATTCTTGATGTTCCTGTTTCTACTTTCCAAGTGCCGGGGAAACAGACATGTGGTTCTGGGGCTCAAACCCACAGCTTCATGCATGGCCTGCTAGGCAGGAACTCTACCAACTGAGCTACATCCCCAAACTTTTTAAACTTTAAAAAAACTTTTAGCCGGGTGTGGGAATGCATGCCTTTAGTCCCAGCATTCAGGAGGCAGAGGCAGACGGATCTCTGTTAGTTCCAGCCTGGTCTACATAGTGGGTTCCAGGCCAGCTGGGACTACAGGGAGACTCTGTCTCAAAAAGACAAAAAACAAAAAGAACTCTTTGTGTTGCTAAGGATTAAACCCAGGGCTGTTCCCATTCTAGGCAAGGACTCCACCAGCGAGCAATATCCCCTAGTCTACAGAGTCAAACACTCACTTTAGTTACTTGGTTAATTTTATAACAGAAAAAAAGATTTTCCATTATTAAAATAACATTTAAATAATAAAAGCTCATACTTGACCGACTTTTTGATTAATTTTTCTCAAAGAGAGGCACTAGCTGACTACCTGGCAAAGTCAAGCAGATAAATCTCAGTGCAGACATGAGAAAGCCCAGGGTTTAAAGCATTAAGACCACCAACCTAGAAGTGCTCTGGTCCAGGCCCATCCTCTGGCTGGGTCTCTAATCATTTGTATTTCATCTATTACAGCCACTTCATCTTAAACAAACAAAAAGTTATTATGAGCAGTACAGTCTACTTGGACAAATTCCAACACCACAATTTTTCCCATTACCACCATTATTATCGTCCCTCACCAGGTGCTTTCTAGCAGGTGTTGTTCTAAGTGGGCTACAATTATATCCCATTTTTTGCAGGGCATGGTGGTACTCGCCTTTAATCCCAGCACTTGGGAGGCAGAGGCAGGTGGATCTCTGTGAATTCAAGGCCAATCTGGTCTACAGAGTGAATTTCAGGACAGCTGGGGCTACAGGGAGACCCTGTCTCAAAAAAAAAAAAAAAACAACCAACACCCCCCAAACCCAATTATATCCCAATTTAATCCTCACAATAAACCTAGGATGCTGTTACCTCCATCTGACAAAAGTCAGACAATAGGTACAGGGGTGAAATTCAAGCCCAGGTGTCCAGCTCTGAACACCACACTCTTAGTCACTTTGCTGCACCACCCCCAAACTGAGCGGCTCCTTTGTCCTATTCTCTACAATCACTGACACCTCTGGGCAGCTCTGCCTAATAAGAGCCACTACATCTACACAGCAGCAAAGGAGAAGGCAGGCAACTCAGCTCCCAGGAGTGATGACAAAGACAGTCCTTCTGGCTCACGAAGCAGCTATGGGCAGCCGTGGGTGAAGCAGTGGGAAGGCTACCTCAGGTTCTGGTTCTGCTTGGTCTTAGGAGCATTAAGCCCATCACTATGGGGAAAAAGGAGTGCCTCCACCTATCTCCTGATGCCCCAAAGTCACCAACTATATTCTCTGTACTTTGCATTTTCATTTTCCCAAATGCCAAGGAATTGAGAACACTGAAGAAAGCCAACTAAAAATGGAAAAACCACTAGATCAAAAATTACTTTTCACCAAGCTGTAGAGATGGCTCAGCAGTTAAGAGTGAGCACTGCTCTTCCAGAGGATGAGTTTGATTCCTGCACCCAGGTAATCATCAGCACTGCTCTCACATGTACAGACTCACACAGACACCCATATACACATAATTAAAAATAATGGGCCAGGTGTGGTGGCGCACACCTTTAATTCCAGCACTTGGGAGGCAAATCTCTGTGAGTTTGAGCCCTGCCTGGTCTACCTAGTGAGTTCCAGGACACAGCTGTGACTACAGGGAGACCCTGTCTCAAAAAAGACAAAATAATAATAATAATAATAATAATAATAATAGGAGAGATGGCTCCGTGGTTAAGAACACTGGTTGTGTGAAACTGAAAGGACAAAAATTTTACAAATGAAAAAAACTAATAATCATAAAAGATTTTGCAAATTAAAATTAAGCTGCTATTCAATGAAAGACACTCCATAGACTTAATTAACATTTGCTGTCGTGGGAAGGTGGCACTGAAAAGTAATACATATTTGTTCTCTTTGCTTGCTTATACTTCATATTTTCAAAAATGAAAGTTCACATTTAAAATATCTCCCAAACTACTTATAGCTGCTCATTACAGTACCTACAGTACTGTACATAATACTGACTTTTGTGTGTGTGTGTCTCCCTGTAGCCCCAGCTGTCCTGGAACTCACTATAGACCAGGCTGGCCTTGAACTCACAGAGATCTGCCTGCCTCTGCCTCCCACGTGCTGGGATTAAAGGCGTGCGCCACCACGCCCAGCATACTGACTTATTTTTTTCAGCACTGGGAATGGAACCCAGGGCTTTAGGCTTGCTAAGCAAGTATCACTAAGCCCAATGGCAATTTTTTTTTATTTTAGTTAATTTTTTGTGTATGAGCGTTTTGCCTACATGTATCTAAGTATACCCAAGAGTGCAATGCCTGCATAAGTGAAACCCATTCCTCTGCAAGAGCAGTGTTCTTAAACACTGAGCCATCTTGCCAGTCCCACAATGGCAAAATGTTAAACAGCCTGAATATCCCTTAATGGGGGAATGAATACTTTTTGTCATAAGTATATAACATTTAAATAAACCTCAAATATATATAAACCAGACTACATATGGCTTTTTTTTTTTTTTTTTTGGAGACAGTATCTCACCATGTAGCCCAAGATAGCCTTTAACTCACGATAATTCTACTGCCTCAGCCTCCCAAGTGCTGAGAGAATAGGTATTCACTAGCACATTCATCCAGGTCTGGTACTAAAAACAAAGTTATGCACAGTGATCAAATAAATGTAAAAAGTGACCATCTGCAGTGCTGGTGATACGTACCACAGATAAAAAAGTCGACAAGATAACACATCAAACACCTGATATGAAACAGATCAAAAGATGGAAAGCCAAACCAAGCAGTGCTCCAGGACCCTTGACACTGCGCCCACTATGTCATCTCTTTTTTTCTTGTTTGTTTTCTTGTTATTGCCTGGTTTCTTTTTGTTGTTTTTTTGTTTGTTTTTTTTAGACAGGGTTTCACTGTGTAGCCCTGGCAGGCCTGGAACTCGCTATGTAGACCAGGCTGGCATCACTCAGAGAGATCCTCCTGCCTCTGCCTCCCAAGTGCTGGGATTAAAAGTGTGCACCACCGTGCCCCAACAATATTCAGTAGCAAGCATGACAATGTTCAGCATTTATATCTGCTGAAAGGTACTAGGTATTTAATTATTTTTTAATGTATGTTTAACTTTTTTTTACAGTAAGACCATATTTCCTAAGTTCAAGTGCACTGGAAAACTTCCAGTCCCAGTCTTCTGAATGGCATATACATACAAGGAGTTGTCACACTGCACATCTCCACAGTACAAGCCACATGGGCCGCCTGTTTCCCATCCGGATCAACTGTCACACGATCTTCACCTGTCACCAAATCACATGGCACACCCTGGAATGACAAAAAGAAACCTAGACTTATATCTGACTCGAAACCGATAGCAGAAAGCAGCCTGGGAGGCCGAGGAGGGCCCTCTCCATTACCATCAATTTATTCAATGGCTGAATTAGTCCCAATGCTGTTTTCCTATTAAAAAAAAACCCACCCTGTTACATAATTTAGGTAAAACTAGAAATATATCAAATCAGCAGAATCTTCAACAGGAGAAACTGCAGCAGTTTCACCTTTCTTTTTCTGCTGCCCAGGCTGACCTCAAATTCACTAAATAACCAAAAATGAACTCCTGATCCTCCTGCATCCAACCTCCAGGTATTAGGGTTACAGATGTGTACTGCCACGCCCAGCTAATAATGCTAGGTTGGTTTGTTTCCCTTTTGCAGTACTGGGCTTTAATCCAGGGCTTTACACAAACTAGGCAAGCGCCCCACTGAGCTACATCCTCAGCCTTCTCACTTTGTAACTTTGACCACTTCCGAAGTTAAAAAATGGAGCTGTAGCTGGGCGAGGTGGCATACATCTTTAATCCCAGCACTTGGGAGGTAGAGGCAGAGGCAGGCGGATTTCTGTGAGTTTGAGGCCAGCTTTGTCTACATAGTGAGCTCTAAGCCAGCTAAGGCTACAGGGAGACCCTATCTCAAAAAGGGCCCCCGCCCCCCCCCAAAACATGGAGTTAATAAGCAAACATGAATCACTTCTCTACCCAAGAGCAGCACTATGGGTAAAGTCTGAGAATATAAAGACCTCTCAATATAACTCCCTGAGAAGCAGTGACATCAGTAGTAGGGTATATTAGGGTGACCAACCATCCTTTCCAGGAATGAGGGGTTCCCCACAATGATGGACTTTCTGTGCTCAATCTGGGAAAGTATAGGCAACTACAACTAATGTATAATACTTGAAAAATAAAAAGGTTACCAAAGACAGTAATTCTTAATGCAAACCAGAGGAAAGACAAAACAGCATGATGGGATCCTAGGAAGGACTAGGGAGGTTGTTACTGAAAAATTAACAAAGTTTGAATATGGATTACATATTAAATAGTAGCAGTCTTTGAGAAAAAAAGTCTTTGTTTTGCCGAGTGTGCTGGCATAGGCCTTTAATCCCAGCACTTGGGAGGCAGAGGCAGGCGGATCTCTGTGAGTTCAAGGCCAGCCTGGTCTACATAGTAAGTTCCAGGCCATCTGGGGCTACAGGGAGACCCTGTCTCAAAACAAAACCAAAAGGTTTTTGCTCTAAGGGAAAACATTCTCGGAAATATACAGATAAAGTATCATGCATACAACTTACTCATATTATTTTTTAATGTAGAATGCAAGTTATATAACCCAAATTAGTTAAGCTCACATTATGTTTAACTAAAACAATGAAAAAATGTCCCAGTTACTGAATCAATGCCTCAGACCACAGGGCTTTAGTCTATCCAGTTCTGAAAAGGTGCCTCCAAGTCCTATCAGCAGCTCTAGCTGACAGCATCAAAGGTCTAATCTAAAAAGTAGAAAATAAACTTCCTGACAGAACACTGGTTAGCGCTGAGGAAGCAAAAGAGGAGTTTCAACCCATCAGTAATGTTCTCTTTCTTGAAAAAGCAAATACTGTTTGAAGTGAGGGGTATGGGGGTGGGAGCTGGAGACATGGCTTGGTGATTAAAAGTACCTCTTGCTCCTCCAAAGGATTAGAGTTTGTTTCCCAGCACCCATGTCAGGCTGCTCACAACCACCTGAAACTCCAGATCCAGGGGCTTTGACGTCCTCTACTTGCCTCCACAGGCACCTGCACTTAAATGTACATTCCTACATGCAACACACACATAATTAAA